CCGTAGTCCCACGGGCCAGGATCATAGAACTCACAAAACATTACAAAGTAAAATTTTACATCTACAGTCAATTCATAAATTAGCTACATCCTATATACAATATTTACACAAGACTACATTCAACTTCACAAAAACACTCATCCATATACACGTTACAACAAAACAAATAAAAATAACAAAATAACAAAATTAAAACAGATAAAACCTACATACTAGTGTGTGCAGCTTTGATTTGCCCATAGCCATTTTTTCAGCTGGACTTTAAACAAGCTATATGTAGTACATTCCCTTAGTGTTCGAGGAAGACTGTTCCACAGGTTCCCACCCCGGACAGACAGGACCATCTGACCGAAGGTGGTATGCCTGTGAGGTATTATCAAGTCTCCTCTAATAGAGGCTTGTGTGGTCCTTAGAGAATTGTCTTTCGATTTAATGAAGTCCTTCAGAGATGGCGGAGCGAGGGAATGAAGGACTTTATATATCAAACAGGCCATCTTCAAATTAATAATATTTTGAAAATTTAATAATCTATGTTTTTTTTAGCACTTGACAGTGGTGGTGGGACAATGGTTTTTTGTCTAATGTTTTTAATGCCTTTTTATATAAACTTTCTATGGTTTTAAGTGTTGTGGGGCAAGCAAGAGACCAGGTTGTCAAACAGTAATCAAAATGAGAAACAATCATCGAATAAAAATATGTTTTAGCAGCACCCATAGTTAAATTATTTCGAATATGCCAAAAATTTTGAAGATTAAATTTGACAACCTTCGCTACTTGTACTGTACACATTCACAATTGCCATTATGTTGCACTAGAAAACCTCCTAAAACTCTTTCATTGTTATTTCTTCTTTTTCCCATTTTATGAAGTCCAGACTAAGTAAGCTCTTTTCAAGCGGTTTCCACAAAACATTGTTGTCAATTTTTTAAATGCCAAATTGTGCCTTTCTACTGTTTCTTTAGAGCACTTGATTGCTACTTTTCCCCTGTTGTGCTGCAGCAGATTAAAAAATAAATAAAAAATAGCCAGTGTTATCACCTCTGTTTTACTTGTACTGTACACATTCACAATTGCCATTATGTTGCACTAGAAAACCTCCTAAAACTCTTTCATTGTTAAGAGATTTGATGTGCATTCTTTATTACTTTTGTATATCTATATTTCTGTGTTTGTATATAATGTTGGTGCATTCTCTTTTAGCACCTGTACTTTTTTGTTATGTTTCTCCTTGGGATATGGAGTATGTGAGAGGTTATTAATTCCATCATGACACATCTTTGTGAAAAGATGCTGCTCCCTTCTGCATTTAGGCTGAGCTGCAGAAATCACTGATTATCATTAATCACTCGTGTTACTGGAGAAACACTTGACTTAGCTCAAGTGGCCTCTTACATTAAACCACAAACCTCTTAATTGCTGATTATAAGACTATGAAAAAAATGATGTATCATCAGTTTCCCTGCTTGTTTGAATAGAGACTTTGTATTCTTGCAAATTATGTGAAGGAAAAAAATCCTTAAAGAGTAAAACTTTCGTGATGATAAACTAAAAAATTATTTAGTTTTGTTAAGAATTTATTGTTTTGTCAAAACAATAACAAAACAAACCCTGTCGTTCACCATACTGACGGAAACTGTTCATCTTCACGGACAAAACTTGACGGACAAGGAAGGAAGCAGCCGTTCAAAATGACAGACATCCCGTCCATCCAATCAAAAGGCGAGTTCTCCAACCCAACATCCAATGAGATGAGAGACGAAGGGCGGGACTTCCTGTCGGTGACGCAGTTGGCGAAGTGGAAGCCCCGCCGTCAATCAAATTAGGGAAAAAAACAAACTGGACTAAAGCGAGCGCAGGCACCGATTAAAATAACCATGCTCGGAGTGTAATTAAACGCAGACATCAGTCTTCTTTAAAGAACTCACGTAATGACCGGTACGTAGGATTTGAAGAGCGTGAGAATGCTCCCTATGAATCTTTGTGCAGGCTATGTTTATGCTAAGCTAGGCTAATGTTAGCAGGCGGGTGAATCTGAGAGTTTAAGATCCGCGGAGGGAATAAACACAGAGCTCATGTGATCCATTAAAAAACCGCGTATGATGGCGTCTGTCCTGCAATCGCGCGATGTGTGGTTCTAATGGCTATGTTGTATTGTGTGTTTGTGTGTTTAAGCGCCTGAAGGGCCAGTGAAAGCGGGAGTCATGGCGGACAGCAGCAGCGCGCAGGACGGCGGCGGCGCGGATCAGGTAAATCACATCAAATCCTCTCCTCTCTTATTCTCTAATGCATGTGCTTTGGTGAAGTTTTCACTTTGTTGTGTTAAAACACTGGTACTTCCTGTGTGGCCACCCCCTTTCATGTATTAAACCCGCCCATCATTAGGACGGACAGCCCTCGCCGCTCGCCCTGCTCGCCGCCACTTGCACCGGCCTCGGAGCAGAGAACGGGGCAAACACGAATAATAATGGTGTTGCTGGGGTGGTAAGTCTGCAACTACAGATACATCACCTTTATTGTACTATACCGTGGTTTGAATGTGAGCTAGGGCTTGTTTACTTTGAATGAGAGCGTGTTTACTCCCCCATACTTAAATGCGTAGGTCACCCCAAAAAATGAAATTCTGTCGTCATTTACTCACCCTCAAGTTATTCCACCTGTATACGTTTCTCTGTTCTGCTGAAGATATTTTGAAGAATATGGGTAACCTAACAGTTGTGGAGCACCCATTGACTTCCATAGTAGGAAAAAAAAATACTATGGAAGTCTGGTTACCGACATTATTCAAAATATCTTCTTTTGTGTTTGGCAGAGGGAGGAAACTCATACAGGTTTGGAACAACATGATGGTGAGTAAATGAAGTATCCCATGATATAGGGAGGCACTGTTCTGGTTGAGCTTCCTTTTAATAAATTATTGAATGGTTCACAGTCAGTGCATCTTAGTCTTACCAGGAGATGTCCACAGGAAGACATCCTGTAACTGAGCAATCTTAGTTTGTGTTTTACTTGCTTATTAGTTGGTATCAGACCAGCATGGGGGGAAAAAGTAAAATAATGTCATGTTTAATCTTACCTGAAAGCGAAACTGTGAGGGACGGTCTAGTTGCATGGGAAAATATATATCAAAAATTTGGAAACGTTACTATTTTTATACTCTTATGCTCATCAAGGCTGCATTTATTTGATAAAAAAACCCCAGTAATATTGTGAAATATTGTTACAATTTATAATAAAGGTTGGGATATATTTTAAAATATAATTTATTTCTGACGCAAATCTGAATGTTCAGCATTATTACTCCAGTCTTCAGTGTCACATGATCCCTCAGAAATCATTCTGATATGGTGATTTATTATCAATGTTGGAAACAGTTGTGCTGCTTCATATTTTTTTTTATAACCTGTGATCCTTTTTTCAGGATTCTTTAAATAACTTTTAAAAAGAACAGCTTTTATTTAAAATAAAAATATTTTGTAATAATATACACTATCATTCAAAAGTTTGGGGTCATTCATTTTTTCTTCTTTGTTTTGAAAGAAATTCATACTTTTATTCTGCATGGATGTGTTAAATTGATAAAAAGTGATAGTAAAGATTTATATTATTAAAAAAGATTTCTATTTTAAATAAATGCTTTAAAAAAAGGTTTTATTCATCAAGGAATCCTGAAAAAAGTATCACAGATTATAAAAATATTAAGCCGTAAACTATTTTAAACATTAATAAATCATCATATATTAGAAGACTGGAGTAATGATGCTGAAAATTCTGCTTTGATCACAGGAATAAATTACATTTAATATATATTCACCTAGAAAACTTTTTTTATTGTAATATTTTACAGTATTACTATTTTTACTGTATTTTTGATCAAACCAATGCAGCCATGGTAAATAATTCTAGTGACAAAAAAAAAACTTTCTTTAGACCAATTTCTCAGCCTTTTTTTTCACTTGTGAAAAATTAAATCTAGCGTGTACCTTGTCTAATGGCAGTTCAGAAAACAGAAGACATCTAATGTTGGTCTAGGTCTACAACCTAATGTTGTTTTCCATTGATAAGAGACTTAATCAAGTGATGAAAAATGTCCATAATAAATCCATATTCACAAATTCATCTCTATTTTATAGATTTTAAAACTTACTGAGCCTTTTCCTCATTTCATTGAATTTTTTCTTGCCATTTAATGAATTATTGCTATATAATTTAGTGGAAAATTGGATTCTTTTGAGGATCACTCATGATACTTGTTACCTTTCAGCGTTTCAGAACAAATTCTAATTGTTCCCTTCCATAGGACGGGTTTGTCTGTGTTTTGCATCAGTCAGCATAGGTGCAGCAAGAGATTTGACTGTGTACATGCACTGTTGTGGCATCACTTATTTTCTTGTGTGAAACTCTTGTGATTTCCTCCCTAGAACGCAGACCTCTCAGTGCAGTTAACAGGGTCGTCTGACAGGTGGGAGGCGGTAAAGGACGACTCGGGTGTCCTGCATCTCCCCGGCACGGGTATCGTCACGTCCAACGGACAGTATGTTCTTCCTCTCCAGAGCCTCCAGGGTCTCCAGAGCCAGCCCATCTTACTCACGTCAGGGACCGACACGTCTGCCGGCGCAGTGCCTAACATCCAATACCAGGTCATCCCTCAGGTGCAGACGGCCGACGGGCAGCTGGGTTTCGAGGGGGCTTCAATGGCGCAGGACGCCTCAGGGCAGATCCAGATCCTCCCGGACGGCACCCAGACCATCAGCGTCACGGGCACGACGGCAGCCGATGTGATCCGCAACACTCAGAACCTCATGACCCAGTCTGGCCAAGTGCACTTCAACAGTCAGGGTCAGATGGTCACTAACGTGCCTCTGGGTTTGCCTGGTAACATTACCTTTGTGCCCATAAACAGCGTGGATCTGGACTCGCTCGGGCTCTCGGGGGCCCAGGCAATAGCCACCGGCGTCACGGCTGACGGACAGCTGATCATGACCAATCAGAGCGTGGAGAACTCTGACGGCTCGGAGAAAGCAGGGGAACAGCACCAGACACTCAACTCGAATGCAGACATGTTTGTGCCTACCACATCTTCATCCTCCTCCTCGTCCTCACAGCAGCAGCAGCAGCAGCAGGCCAGCACGATAGACGGCACGGGCGTGTTGACGCAGCCTGTGGCGGGAGAGCAGGGAGACGGGTCGGGATACCTCAGTCAGGGCACGGTGCATGTGTCCGGGGGGCAGCAGGTCATCCAGTTACAGCAGCTGCCCTTGCAGACCGGTGACGGTCAGGCCCAGCAGAACATGCAAAACATCCAGCTCATCAACCCAGGAACATTCCTCATCCAGGCCCAGACCGTCTCACCGTCAGGACAGATACAGTGGCAGACCTTCCAGGTATGCGTTTAATTCATTTAAAAACAGCCACGAGACTGACCAAAAGTGCTGTACAAGACTAATCTAAATATACACACAAATATAATATAATATACACATTTAAGAAAAGTGTAAAAAAAAAAAAAAACAATCAATACACCAGAGAAAACCAATACAGTGGCAGACCTTCCAGGTATGCGTTTAATTCATTTAAAAACAGCCACAAGACTGATTAATGTGCTGTACAAGACTAATCTAAACATACACACAAATATAATATAATATACACATTTAAGAAAAGTGTAAAAAAAAAAAAAACAATCAATACACCAGAGAAAACAAATACAGTGGCAGACCTTCCAGGTATGCGTTTAATTAATTTAAAAACAGCCACAAGATTGATTAATGTGCTGTACAAGACTAATCTAAATATACACACTTAAGATAATACACACAAATATAATATACACATTTAAGAAAAGTGTAAGAACAAACAAACAATCAATACACCAGAGAAAACAAATACAGTGGCAGACCTTCCAGGTATGTGGTTATTGGGGATGTCAATTTTCACAAATTCCCATGATCGATCGTCGTTTAAATTAACGATTGATTAATCGTTAGCTTTAATTCTGCAATATCCATTTACTGCTGTGGCATAACAACATGATAATGCTGCTCAAAACTTTGTTCCTCACCAATTGAATGAGTTGGCAGACCTTCCAGGTTGGTAAGTGGTTATAAATCTTTTTTATTACAGTTTTAGGGTTGGGGATTAAGAAATGGTAAAAAAAATAGTATCTTTTGTAATGATGCAGACAGTGTACGCTAGTAAAACAGTGATTCCTGCACCACTATTCATTAGTGGCCCTGCATATGACAACAAACATATTGATTGAACAGCAATCACCACCCATTTACATTTAGGCAGTGATTTATCATAAAAACTGGTTAGTCTTGATCATGCTTGCGTTACTGATTTTGAAGTTTAGAATAAAGAATAGACTCACCAAGTTAAATCATGACACCAAGTGCTTAGAGGGTTAGTTTACCCAAAAATTAAAATGGGTGTCATCATTACTCACCTATGTCTTTCCAAACCCATAAGACTTTGCTTGTCTTCGAAACCCAAATTAAGATGTTTATATATAATGAAACCTGAGAGTTTTCTGTCCCTCCATTGAAAGTCTAGGTAATCAAAACTTAAGATCCAAATAGGTTATGATGGTGTCGTAAAACAAATCCATATGAATTGAGCGTTTTAATCAATCTTCTGAAGAGATATGATCTCTTTACATGATGAACCATTTTAATTTAGGCTTTCAATCACATATAAAGACATGCATATAGAGTACATCACATGGTAAACACAGAAGTGTGTGTGTGCAACACGCGCTAGAACAAACCTGCACAAAAACCAATGAGGTTTGTTCTTGTATATGTAGCATGAGCTTCCATGTTTACCATATTGTGTATGTATGTGTGTTGATCATTTTTTAGATGTAATGAAAAGCCTAAATTAAATCTGTTTATCATGTAAACTAAGCGGGTCAAATCTCTTCACAAGATTTTGAATAAACCGCTCGATTCGTTTTACAACGCCTTGATATCTTTTGGAGGGACACGTACCTTTCATTAAAAATATATTTATTTGCATTTCGAAAAATAAGGATCTCATGGGCTTGGAATAGGGATGTCAATTTACATAAATTCCCATAAACTATCTTTTTTTTAAATTAACGATCAATTAACCTCTTAAATCCAAAATGGGGGGGGGGATGCTACTAAGTAATCACGTTACTTAACCAACACATGGATGTCGCTTTAAGCTCGACTTTATAGTGAATATAGGGAATATGACCATCAGTTAAAATTAGCTGACATTTTAGAAGTCGCTCATAGCGTGAAAAAATAACTGTTTTACATGAAAATGTGATCAGTAAAATCATCGTAAATAACAGACTATATCGTTGAAAACGTCTCAACTAGCAGAATACAACAAGCGCATTGATTTCATTTAGAGAACAAACTATACCAAGTATAGTATAAAAATATAAAATGTATATAAAAATTTGAAAAAAGCAGCTGATGCACGTGTAAACGTATACACAATGCTTTTGCGCCACGTTTTGGTTTGTAACCGCGTGAAACATTAATAAACCATAGTAGATCGCATATCTTTATTTAGAGCAGGTGGTCTTGAACGAGCCCAAACACAACATAAGACGCTGGTTAGATCACGGAGTGACATTGACATGCTACTTGGCTAAAGCGTTGCGATCATGACGCTTTGTTTTCCAACGTCGTTTGAAAGTTCAACCATTGGAAACTGGATCTTGGGTTCGGTGTGTAGAGATGATGTGCAGAGACCAATCGGCAGTAGCGGAGATAGCGTGGGTGCTTGGGTGGGGCCGCCCCAGGGCCCCGTGATGCCGGTAACTTTTTTCAGTAACGAGTAATTTAACGCGTTACTATTTGCAAACCAGTAATCAGATTAAAATTACTTATCCAAGATACTGTGCGTTACTATTTTTGTCATTTTCTTTAGTAGAAATGATGGCAGATATGTGATATGAAACTGAAATGTGTGTGAGAAGGCAGAATCGCGACACACCCCTTCCAACTCCCAGAGTTATCCTTCCCGTCCAGATCCAATGCTACCACATCTTTAAATTACTATTAGTATTATTTGAAGTTAACATTATAAAATACGTAGACCTACACCACAAAACTAGTTGAGGATAATTTCTTTAAAATTGGGCAATTCCAGCGTTACATTTGAGATAAAAAAAAAACTTGAAATGTAAATTCTCAGAAAAAGCATTTGATACCAATATATTGAAATAAAGAAGTCCAGACATTAGAAAAATATCAGTCTAGTCTACACATGCGTTTTATATTTAATATGAGGGAAATACACATCCGTAATGGACGTAACACAAAAAAAACTTTAATTTTTAAGTGGCAAAAGTACAAAAAGGAATACTACCCACCGGATGAAGAAGGGTTGGCTCTCCACAGAACAAAATATTCATTTTGTCTTATTTTTCGTGTTCGCATTTATGAGGGAAAAACAATGTTAGGCTACGTGACAGTTCCCCGTTACGGACGTGACCGCTCTGAAAGCGGCACTGAAAGACTGCTTTAAAACTTTCCCAGAGACATCAAACATAAAGTACAAAGCCATTCATTAAAGCGAATTTCGTTTTGTATTAAATGTATCTTAATTTTAATCAATGTTTCATCAACCAATTGTCTGGATTTAATAAATAAGTAAATATAGCAGACAATAGATAATCGCGCCGGCGCGTGAACTGGAGCTCGTCTCATTAATGAACCGAGACACAGCGTATAAGGTAGCCTACTTGCCTCACACACCTGAAAAATTTATCTATAGAAAGCTCGAAATGTGTTCTTTTACAGAACAAATCAAAACGAAAGAAAACAGACTGTTCTCTGAAAAGAACGAGATAGCCTTTGTGTTTTACTTTTATTTAACATATAAGCTTACTTGGCTCAACAAGTGACACATTATTATATGCATTCATCAGATATTTTACTGATTTTTTTACGGTTTTAATTTTAAAATGACTTGGTAGCAGAGGGCCCCATGATGAAGCCCCGCCCCCACTGTACTGCGAGTCTAGCTCCGCCCCTGCCAATCGGACACCGTTTTACAGCTGGAGCGTGCTTGGATTGGTTATTTATTATGAGTAATTATTATCGACAATTAATCCATTGGTGATTAATCGTCACCATCCCTAGTTTGGAACAACACAAGTAAATGATGACATAATTAAAATTTGTGTGTGTTCCCTTTACCCATTCTGCTGTCCCAATCTGTCCCCGCAGGTCCAAGGAGTTCAGAACCTCCAGAACCTTCAGCTCCAGACGGCTCCCGCTCAGCAGATTACTCTCGCCCCGGTGCAAACGCTGTCTCTGGGCCAGGCCGGCACACAGGTCAGCCTGAGCTCGGGACAGATGCCTAACCTGCAGTCGGTGACGGTCAACACCATGGGCCAGGCAGGCATTCAGTTCCAGCAGTCCGAGGACACCGACAGCACTGGAGGTACAGCAGCGGGCGCTTCAGGGAGGGTGGGGATCGAGACATGGCTTCCCAATCCTGGTCCTGGAGTACCCCAACACTGCTCATTTTTGATGTCTCTCTTTTCTGGCACACTCAGTCTTTACTAACGAGCCGATGAGTTGAATCAGGTGCGATTGATTAGGGAGACTTCAAAAAGGTGCCGGGGTTCCTCCAGGACCAGGGTTGAGAAGAACCACTGATTTATGGGGGAAAACATGGTAGATAGATGCAGGGCCCTATGAATTTTTTTCCAATTTAATTAGTCTGGATTCTGTTTAATTATTCTATTTGATTATTCATATTTGTCTAATTAATTTAATTAAGAACACTTAATTTAATGTATTAAAATTTGAACAATAATAGTGTCCTGTGAAGCGTTCTTTTTTCCCGTCAATTCAATTGATTGCATAAAACTTCAACAGTTTTTAATCTTTTAAAATGTAATTATATAAAATTCCTTTCATTTTATGGCAATCAAAGTGCTGCACAACAGAGGTTTACTGATTCAATTAAAATGGTTTGATATTTTGTGGTATTATGTTTTAACCTCTTATTATTGTTATGCAAGTACATTTTTACTGTACAATAGTCATATATTTCTGTCATGAGTTCTTTAAGTTAAATCAAAGTGTGTTTCTGTGTGCATCTGACAATAGTTTTATCAAATGAAATGGAAAAATGCTCATGAAATTCATACAGCGTTCTCGTGACACGGCAGACGCTGAAAACACCAAGTGTCACGTGTGCTTCAGTATTTGTGTAGTAGCCCAAACTGCGGTGCTCATTCACACACACAGAGCAAGCAGATGTTTAAAAAAAGCCGTCTTTTTGTGCTTTTATATTCACACTTGTCCATAATGCAGTTTTAAAAGCCCACTTTTAATTCATTCTTCTAATGTGTTCCAAATTCCGTGACATTCCGCGTCATACTGTGAATTCCATTGGAATCTGTGATTCCGTTGTGCTTTTGTGGAATCTTCAGGCCCTATATAGAGTAAACAAGATAATGCAGGCATTTAGAGTGCCATTACAGAGGGAAGATGTGTGTGGCCGTAACTGTGCAGTGCTGTTAGTGTAACGCTGATCATACTATACTCTATAGATATTCAGATTAAGGAGGAGCCTGATTCGGAGGAGTGGCCTCTGGACAGTAGCTCTACGCTGAATGCCAATGACCTCTCTCACCTTCGTGTTCGTTTAGTGGAGGAGGAGATGGAGGGATTGAGCCAGGAGGGCAAACGTCTGCGCAGGGTCGCATGCACCTGCCCCAACTGCAAAGAGGGAGGTGGGAGGTGAGATCACACTGCTAAAAGCACTGCTGTTTCCTTTAGCAGCTCATTTTGTTTTGAGACGCAGTGAAATTTATATTCATGTGTAATACAGACACCCTATGGTGTGTGTTTGACTACATGTCTTCATTATTGAATGCGTGTAGTATATTTCCATTCTGACTGTACATTTGTAATTATATGTTGTAGGGGATCTAACATGGGCAAGAAGAAACAGCATGTGTGCCATATAGCCGGCTGCGGGAAGGTATACGGGAAGACGTCTCACTTGCGGGCTCACCTGCGCTGGCACTCGGGAGAGAGACCCTTTGTCTGCACCTGGATGTTTTGTGGGAAGAGGTTCACGCGCAGTGATGAATTGCAGCGACACAGGAGAACGCACACTGGTACTCTTCCTCACACACACACACACACACACACGTTTCTCACTGCCTCTGTGACTACCTCGGTTCCCAAACCTGGTGAGCCTCCTTGCTTACATGGGCAGCTAATGTCTAAGGCCCCGATCACACAGAACGAGCGGTTTTTAATGTTGCTAGGCAACCACCGAAACGGCGGTCCTCTCAGTCAAGTAAATGTCGAATCAGCCTTTTATTAACTTTATTTACTTTCTGTTAACATTGTGGTAGTTACGTTTCGTGAAGTGGTTAAGCTCCTGGGGCCGGTTTCACAAAGAATAGCTTTGTGGAACCGGCCCCTGGTAACCCGCGAGAGCACCACATGATTCTCCTCCATCATCGCACTGTCCGGGCGTTCAAAGCAACTCCAGCTTTCATCACTACAACGGAGGCCCGCCTCTCCATTCATTCGATTGGACAGTGGAAAAAAACTCAATGACGTCGGGCGCTTTTTCCGCTCGGAGTTGTGGGGTTTTTTACTGCAAAAACGTGAGGCGCAGCAGGCGGTAAAACGCATAAACAGCGCGCAGAACGCTCACTGCCTTAGGAAAACAATTCAAAACGGCGCCTCACTGCAAGAAACGTGTTCGGTTTGATTGGGGCCTTAGGCACCATCCTGACCTGTATTGAGTCTCAGTTTGATGTTAGCATAACAGTACAAAGGCAAACATATAGGCTATACATATAAAATAGAGATGCACCGATTACAATTTTCTAGGCCGATTCCGATTTCTGATTTTTCTTGAGTTTGACCTGCCGATTCCGATTTCCTTTTTTTAAACCACTTTACAGCACACACAAATATTTATTTTCTATCTTCTCTTTAATAGAACATTTTGCATAGAACATTTTTTTTAACAGATAATCGCTATAAAATAGGACTATATAAATTACTCCTGGTGTGGGAAATCCACACACATCTAAAGTGCAGTGTTATAGAAGAAGCATTTCCTTTACACATCCAATATCCAACTAAAAAAAAAAGATATATTTAGCAACCTAAACTTTTGTATGAAAACAGGTAATGGCAATAAAATGATATATAAATAACAAATAAAAATACTATGGGAAAAGAGTAGAGCGAGTTCAGCAAAAGGCGGATTCATGTGTCTTACCCCTACACTTTTGCTACAGTTGACGATCCAGTTTCTTCTGTAATTTTGTCTCGCCCAACCAGACATCAGTGGGCGGAGTTAGTGTAAATGACCTCTGCCAACAAAGCGGGCTATTTGGACAGTGTAAATACACACTCCATAAAAAAATACCTGCATGTAAATACAGCTGTAATTAATTTCCGTAACTCCGGGTTCCCACGCTTCTTGAATGTACGTAAAATTCAGAAATTCAAATTCAGAATTCATGCATTTTCATTCAACTCTGCCGTTTTTGTCCAGAACAATGCAAACGATCTCTCTCTCTCTCTCACTCACTCACTCACTCACTCACTCTCTCTCTCTCTCTCTCTCTCTCTCTCTCTCTCTCTCTCTCTCTCTCTCTCTCTCTCTCTCTCTCTCTCTCTCTCTCTCTCTCTCTCTCTCTCTCTCTGACTCTCTCTCACACTCTCTCTCTCTCTCTCTCTCTCTCTCTCTCTCTCTCTCTCTCTCTCTCTCTCTCTCTCTCTCTCTCTCTCTCTCTCTCTCTCTCTAATTATTACACCGTTGACCTTCCCTTACACATATCCACCTCAATAGCAGCACAAATGTTTTACAATATGAACACAATAAGTACACTGTACCTAACAGTTAATAGTAGTTTAAGACACCTAATATAAAATATGACCAAAGAATTTAATACTTTTATTTGCATTTATTTGATAAAAAAAAAGTGACCCTATCGGCTCTGTAGCAAAAATTCTACTTCAAATCCTCATATTAGAAGGATTTCTGAAGGATCATGTGACACTGAAGACCGGAGTAATGATGCTGAAAATGCAGCTTTGATCACAGGAATAAATTACATTTTGATTAATGTTTCACAATATATATATATATATATATATATATATATTTTTTTACTATGTTTTTGATCAAATACATGCAGCCTTGCTGAGCATAAGAGACTTCTTTCAAAAACATTTTTAAATGACATTTTTATCCCAACGTTTGGGTTTCTCCATATTTGACCCAAAATTGGTTTAAAACAACCCAGCATTTTTTAGAGTATCCTGTGTCTTTACAGTGCATTTTAAGATTGGTTCCCTTGCAAAGGAGGCGTGCAATGCTGCCTTAGAATTGGACTAAACATGTTTTTGGTTATGTTTTTTAAGATAAATGAGTCTCTCAAAGGGATAGTTCACCCAAAAATGAAAATTAGCCCATGATTTACTCACCCTGAAGCCATCCTAGGTGTATATGACATTCTTCTTTCAGACGAATACAATCGGGAGTTATATTGAAATCTCTCCATCATAAAAGTGCATCTCTCCATCATAAAAGTGCATCTCTCCATCATAAAAGTGCCTCTATCCATGATAAAAGTGCCTCTATCCATGATAAAAGTGCATCTCTCCATGATAAAAGTGCCTCTATCCATGATAAAAGTGCATCTCTCCATCATAAAAGTGCCTCTCTCCATCATAAAAGTGCCTCTCTCCATCATAAAAGTGCATCTATCCATGATAAAAGTGCCTCTATCCATGATAAAAGTGCCTCTCTCCATCATAAAAGTGCCTCTCTCCATCATAAAAGTGCCTCTCTCCATCATAAAAGTGCATCTCTCCATCATAAAAGTGCATCTCTCCATGATAAAAGTGCCTCTATCCATGATAAAAGTGCCTCTATCCATGATAAAAGTGCCTCTATCCATGATAAAAGTGCCTCTATCCATGATAAAAGTGCATCTCTCCATGATAAAAGTGCATCTATCCATGATAAAAGTGCCTCTCTCCATCATAAAAGTGCCTCTCTCCATCATAAAAGTGCATCTATCCATCATAAAAGTGCCTCTCTCCATCATAAAAGTGCATCTATCCATGATAAAAGTGCCTCTATCCATGATAAAAGTGCCTCTATCCATGATAAAAGTGCCTCTATCCATGATAAAAGTGCCTCTCTCCATCATAAGTGCCTCTCTCCATCATAAGTGCCTCTCTCCATCATAAAAGTGCATCTCTCCATCATAAAAGTGCATCTCTCCATCATAAAAGTGCCTCTCTCCATCATAAAAGTGCCTCTCTCCATCATAAAAGTGCCTCTCTCCATGATAAAAGTGCATCTCTCCATGATAAAAGTGCCTCTCTCCATCATAAAAGTGCCTCTCTCCATCATAAAAGTGCCTCTCTCCATCATAAAAGTGCATCTCTCCATCATAAAAGTGTATCTCTCCATCATAAAAGTGCCTCTATCCAAGTGATAAAGTTTTAAATATGGATATTTTTCTTACTCAAATGCATCGTTTTTTTAAGCAGGCTTCATGTAGGGAGCTCACTAGTCTTTGTAACAGCTTGTATCTCTTTCTTTTTCTCATTTATGTCATTGATTCTTCCGCCGTCATCAGGAGAGAAGAAGTTCGTGTGTTCCGAGTGTTCGAAGAGATTCATGCGCAGCGATCACCTGGCCAAGCACATAAAGACGCACCAGAACAAGAAGGGAGGAGGCGGAGCCGTGGTGTCCAGTGTGGGCGGAGCCATGTCCTCGGACAGCATCATCACGGCGGGCGGCACCACACTCATCCTCACCAACATCCAGGCCGGCTCCATGCAGGGCCTCGCCACCGTCAACGCCACCGTCAACACCTCCAGCTCGCAGGACCAGCTGAGCTCAGCCGAGATCCCTCTGCAGTTAGTGTCCGTGTCCACCGGGGACGAGTGATCACGTGACGAGTCCTACAGGAGAGGAACATCATTCTAAAGGTCCCGCCTCTTCCTGTACGACATCACATCCTCTTCTCCCGCAAACTTTAGACTCCATTTTGACTACATCGATCGATTCCACGCTCACGCATATACCTTGCTTTTATACCTTTACATATATACCCTCCTTTACGTAAATATGTACATTTACGTGAATGCATATATACACACACACACACACACACATACATATATATATATATATTTTACAAATATAGAATTATTGGGGGTTTGTTCATCTTTTTATGGGGGAAGCATTATTTCTTGTTTTCACATACAACACTGAAATGCCTTATATTGTATTATAAGCTGTCGTGTACAAAGGCCGAGTCGCTCATGGGTGTCAAGCATCTGTTTCAGTGTGTACTTGTCGGAATGGGTTTAATCGTGTTGTATAAAGAAAGCAGCGCTGGCTGATAAACGGGTGGCTGATGATGCTGAACGGAACGGTTTAGCCAAAAAAGTGGAAAATCTCTCATTATTTCTTCCCCCATGTTTGGTTTTTGAAGAATTACACACAACAACAGGGACATAAACAGCCAGTTTGTGTCTCCAGCACTTTATTTAAAGTAATCTGAACTCATAATGTGTGAGAAATGGACCAAAAGTGGGTGAACAACATCCCATCATTTGCCCTGTAACGTTTAGTTGACTAGCTGTATGTGAGAACCTGATGCCAGTAATGTTGACTCTGCATTATTTTGAACGGTAGTCGTGAGCTTTGGGTGGATGGGAAGTTACAAATCTGTTCCTCACCAAAAAAAAAACAAGTTTGGGAATGTAGCGTCGGTCGTAGGCTTGAACTGCTTTTCGGGAAGTGGGGGAGTAAGTAATGGCAGAATTTCCATTTGTGGCTTAGCTCTTTCTTTCATTGTAATTCTAGGTTGTACGTGATATTCGTGGTGTAAGTTCTCCATACAAGGAGACAGATGTAAAACAAAAGAACTTGCCTGCCAGTTTGCTGTTGGGAGTCATGAAGGTGTCCAATAGTGTCTTTAAAAATGTCTTCTTATGATTTATTTTATGTGGTTTTATTTTGTGTAGCTAAACCAGGCCCAATGAATGGGGCAAATATGAAACAATCATGTAATTAAAAGCATTTTATGTACCATAATTCTCAAAACCTCTTCGAGTTGATCAGATCTTTCAATATGAATTTGTTGCGAATGAAGTCTTTTTGAGCAAAAAGATATTTATATACATTGTAATCTGGATTTGTGGTGTCCACAACTGCTTTTCTAAAGGAAAAAAACTCCCTTTGGCTTTACTTTTTTAAAAGACTGGACTGTAATCAGCATCAAGAATCGTTTGTATGAAATGAATCGGTTTGTAGTTTGCCAAACTGAATTCGCACTCTTTGATAAAATCGAGAGAAAAACAACTGTTTTTTTGGGGGGTTTTTGTCTGATGGTTTTGCAGCATTAATGTGTATAACTGTGTTTCAGGACCAAAAAGAGCCGCTCCGGGTCGCTCTAGCAATGCTGTGTCGAAATGACAGCCTATAGGGGACGTGTGTTAACCAATGGTAAACAACCTAAAGCTTTGTGGGACAATATCCGTCACATCACTACCTAACTGTGATGATGATGATGATGATTCACGTGGGTTTTGAACTCCCCCTGTAGCCGAAAGTCTCTCTTCATTCAGATCGTCCTCAAGAGTTTGATAATGATCATTTTGTAAGGATCTAGTTTAACACACTGCAGGTCATCATCAGTCAGGACACACTCATTTGCTGTACAAGTATGGCTTTGTTTCCACGTGGTACTGTACAGTTATTCTCTCGGCTTATGTTTTTATTCCTTCAGCTAATCATGATTGTCTCTTTATCCACCGAATCTGAGTACCATTGCCAATTTTGTTTGTGTTGGGGGGATTTTAAACCTCCCGTAGCCAAGTTTGTAACGATCATAAATTTTCCACGTGAGTTTGATTGAAAAGGTCCAGTGGGGGTTCATGAAACACTATCTTGTTTTCTGAGTTGATAAGGGTTGTTCTTTTGTCACAGTGATCCAGAATTGCATTTTTTTTTTTTAGTCTTTTAGTTTGTAAAGTCTAAATTTGATTTTGTTCATTATAAATAGCATCTTAACGTGTCACTTTTATTATTATTTTTTATTTGGTCATTTTTTTTTCAAGAAATCTTCGGACTATTGTACAATGCCCACTTTTGAGGGCAGCTGTTTATTTCACACTAAAATGACTAAACATAATCCTGTGCTTGTCAGTTGTCTTATTCTCGCAGAACACTGATGCACATGCTTACATAGAGTACAAAACTTTAAATGGTTATTTGACACAAAAATCCATGAACATATTTTTTTTTTTTTTTTTAAATCACAATAAATAAAATTACACACCGTTCGTAAGATTGATGTTTATTTTTTTTTAATTCATTTTATTCAGCAGGGACACATTGCATTGATCAAAAGGGACAGTGAAGACATTACTATGATACATTTACATACATATGATACATACAATCCTGAAAATGTATCATAGTTTCCACAAAAAAACAAAGCAGCACAATGTAGTTTTCAACGTAAGAAATGTTTTTTTGAGCATCAAATCATCATAGAATGATTTCTGAAGGATCATGTGACACTGAAGACTGGAGTAATGATGCTGAAAATTCAGCTTTGGCAATAATTAAAGTGGACAATTATTTTCATTTGTAACATTTCGCAATATTACTGTTTTCTGTATTTTTGATCAAAATAAATACAACCTTGGTGAGCATAAAAAAACTTCTAGTGTCTTCAGTCACCATTTACTTTACATTTTCCCTCTTTTGCCTTAAAAAAAAAAGTTCCCTGTAATCTGTACATTGATATGGGTCATAAAAACTATCATGTCACATGCACCTGCATTAACTCTATATGTAAAACTATTGAACAGGCAAAAGCATTTGAGCAATCCAGCTCTTACTACTTGTTTTAAAACCACACATTTTGTGATTGAAATGTTCTTCCCGATTATGTTAAAAACCGCTGTGACTGTGTGTGTGTGTAACCTTTGTGTGTGTGAAGTCCAGTAGATGTCACTGCAGCAACAGGACCAGAGCAGGACACACCACTGCTGAATCTCCGACCTCTCAGTCCAGTGATATATTCCTCATCTCAAATGCGTTTAGAAGCTTCTCTGACCTAGTCAGTTAAAATATGTATAAAAAACGCTGGCATCCACCCACAGCTTTACCCCCTTAAATTGCATGTGAAATATGTTATTTTATTTTTGAACTTGCTCAAGTGTGAACAAAATTCCCCTTCATGCGTTTTTCATTTTCACTTCAGAAATACACTTACGGCAATTTCCTCTTAGAGGGGCTTATATATTAAAACCACATCATTTTTCATGATCAAACTCTTTTACATTGTTTTTATGTGAATACTCAATCCAGCGGTGTGGAAATTGATTTGTTTTTTTTTACATCAAGGTGTTAGGTTCAAAATTACAGTCATGTATATGGAAAAATGTATATTTTAGATGCTTGTGACCAAGTAATATAGGCCTATAAATATATTCACATTTTTTTGGAGTTCACTTGAAAGGATATTTCAACCAAAAATAATAATTCTGTCATCGTTTACTCACCCTCATGTCTTTTCAAACCTGTATGCAGTTTTTTTTTTTGTCCTGAGGAACATAAAAGATATTTTGAAGAAATTTGGTAACCAAACAGTTTTGGTTCCAATTTACTTCCGAAAATACAATGTAAGTCAGTGTAACCTTTGTGTGTGCAAAGACTTGGCAATACAGCTCTTTCTGATTCTGGTTACCAACATTCTTCAAAATGACACAATAGTATGTCATGTTCCCCAAAAGAAAGTCATATGAATGAATGAAACCTTTATTGCCCTGAGGGGAATTTGTTTTGCACTCAAGGGAGCCACATTGAACATTAGCACAGATAACAGTAACTAATAATAAAAATAAAAAAAACACACCCAACATCCAAACAACATTGTAATCTTAGAGGATACAGAAAACAGAACATTAACAACAACAACACAGCAATGGTGGTGACATGCAAGCATCAGATGAATCAATAAATATTAAATAAATAATAAATTGTGCACATTATGAAATTTCTATGTGCCTGTGTCTAATATGGGTTTGGATGGAACAACATAAGGGTGAGTAAATGATGACACCATTTTTATTTTTGGTGAACTATCCCTTTAAATAGCCTTGTGGTGTGTGAAAACAACTTTTTAAAACACAAATACTCCACGTTTCCTTTCATGTACACTATATGTAACTTTTGGCCCTCTAGCGGTTAAACAAATAAAACTGCACGCATTTTGCGGAAGAACATTGTTTTAAGTTGTGCTTCGGCTCTGCGTGACTGTGCGGATGAATATGAGCCATAGATAATGCGTTAGAATGTTACTCTGTTAGCTATATGGCAATGTATCTGTTCAATAAAACACCTTACTCACCTGTAGGGAAATAAAAAGCCACGTTGCTTTTACAACATTTCAAATCCCTGTGTTCTCGGCATCTCTGAAGAGCCAAACCAAAGTTGACTCTGGTTTTATTGTGATCTCTGACTCGTTCTCCTTTTGCCAGCAGACTCTCTTCTGTTCGGCGTTTGTTTAAAACGGATGATTCCCCGGAGGTTTGAGATTTAAGTAACTGCTCAATGTCAACTTGTGACAACTAAACCTCTGCCACTCACTCCCACACCATACATGCGTCAAAGTAGCCGGAGAAACCTTTTTTTTATTTACGGATATGACATGACACGCACGGGTGAGTGACGTTTAACGCAATTTCCCCACGAAAATGGTACTACAGTACGGGCGATATTTTCAGAGCCCCCAAACCATAAAATTCGACGACGATGATTGGCGAAATAAACTTATATGACAAATTATTGCATTTACTACTTTACAGTCCGGTCTAAAATATAACCCGCTTATAACTGCCGTAAATCGGGGTAACTTTTAAGACAAAAAAAGCACGTTTTGGAAGAATGATATATGTATTAATTTTGGTTACATACTAGTAACTTGCAGTAGGTAATATAAAATCATGAAAACTCCACTCACAAAATACTTATAAAAGAAACCAATAATAGTTAGCATAGGATGATTTAGGCCCATGGCTTGACTTTTCATGTTAACTCTCCACTGAAGTCTTGCATGACTGGAATCCCTCTGTTTTTATCTCATCATTTCACACGGCTGCAGCTGGAAG